CCAGGCCAGCTGCTCCCAGTGGTGGGTGGGAATGGCCTGGCCTTGCCCAGCACAGGGTAGATGGGTGCCCATCTAGGCAAGTCACAGGCCAGGGAGCGTGGGAATGGCCCGGTCCACTCCTCCTGCCTTGGAGGGGGGCACGCAGGCCCACGTCTCCTCAGAGCTGCCCACGTGCCAGCCCCCCTCTCTTCCCAACGAGCGGGCCCGATCCTGCTACCTGCTGGGCAGTGCCGACCAATGGTGGTGGGAGGGGAGGGTCTCCGCAGCTCGTGGATCACGCCTCAGGGCGCAGGCGCCCCGCGACCCGGCCGAGAGCTCGGCCTCCTGCGTAACCCTGTGCGGGGGGGTCTCCAGAGCGCCCGCCGCTCGGCCCCCACAAGGAGAGACACATTATGGAGGTAACGGGGAGGTGATTCACCCATAAAGGCCTGTAGGTTAATGCTCCAGGCCACACGCCTTTCCCTCCCCGCCAGTACGTTTTAGCAGGCTGGCCAGCAGCCCGGCTCCGCTCTGGCACGCGCCGAGTCCGGGACCCACCCCGTTGCGCCGCGGCATTTCACATGTATTACCCCGCCCGGGGCCGGGGGCTGCTGCCATTCTGCATTGCTGCCTCTGTAACTGGGTGACTAGGGTTGCCAGGTGTCTGCTTTCTGTTTGGGAAACAAATTGAGAAAATATAAATGTCTGGTATCTTCTAAATAAGTTGTAATGTCGATTTTGATGTAATGTCTAGCTTGTCCGGTATTTTTGTGAGGACAACCCATCTGGCAACCCTAAGGGTGACAGGCAGCCGGTCCGCAAGGGGAACTGTTTTTTAAACTGGCTGTCCTCACAGACCAGCTCCCACCTGGTACCGCACGCGGAGTAGCAGGGGACTCTTCGGGAGTGGGGCCAAAGCGCACTGGTTGCCAGCTCCGCCCCCGAGGACTATAGAATAGTCAGCTAACTGATAAGAATTCACGAGGTTACTCGACTGCTCGATTCACCGACACCCAATAGCCCTAGGACACGTCAGATGTCAGCTCGGCTGCCACCCTGCTGTGCCCCCCGGAAGGACCAGCGTGGAGTCAACCTGTGGAACTCCTCGCCAGAGGAGGCTGTGAAGGCTAGGACTATAATAGAGTTTAAAGAGAAGCTAGATCATTTCATGGAGGTCAGGTCCATAAAAGGCTATTAGCCAGGGGATAAAATGGTGTCCCTGGCCTCTGTCTGTCAGAGGCTGGAGAGGGATGGCAGGAGACAAATCGCTTGATCATTGTCTTCGGTCCACCCTCTCTGGGGCACCTGGTGCTGGCCACTGTCGGCAGACAGGATACTGGGCTAGATGGACCTTTGGTCTGAGCCAGTCCGGCCGTTCTGATGATCAAGGCCGTAAAGAGCCCGCTTAAATGCATCGCTCAGAGCAGCGTCCAAAGGGTCCAGTGTGATTCAGGCTCTGGGTCCCTCCGAATGCCAGCGTGGAGCGACCCACGACTCCCCCTCAGAACGGGGGCCACTTCTGGTCCATGCCGGCCCCTCCCAGCCCCCAGGTCCCACACCCACAAGGCGCTGTGCTCCCGGGGCCCGATGGGGAGCTGACCGGCCGCTGGGTCTCCGCTTCTCTCTTGCAGATCAAGAATGCGGCAGCCAACGTCCTGCGGGAAACCTGGCTCATCTACAAACACACCAAGCTGCTGAAGAAGATCGATCATGCCAAAGTCAGGAAGCACCAGAGGAAGTTCCTACAAGCCATTCACCAGTAAGCAGCAAATGGCACTGGGGAGGGGGAGGGGAGGAATCCAGACCTCGGGGTCCCAGGGAATCCGTTCACAGAGGAGGAAATCGGGGGGGCTCCCCTCTCCTTGCCAGGTGTCTCGCTCCTGGTGCCCCCGTGCCGTGTGCGGCTGGTCCCAGCGGGGATCCCAGAGCCGCCGGCGCGGGCAGAGGACCTGGCTGTAGCCGCCTTTTCTTCTCCCACAGGCTGCGCAGTGTCAAGATGGAGCAGAGGAAACTGAGCGACCAGGCCAACACGCTGGTCGACCTTTCCAACCCCTTTCCCCTCCGTGCCCCGGGCAGCCAGTCGGAGGGGGCTGCCCACAGCAAGGCGCCTGGGGTCCGTCGGCTAAGAGCGGCTTCTCGAGGGACTGTAGGGAGACAGCCCGGCTCTCTCAGGCCCTAGGGAAAGTGGCAGCCTAAACCGTCCGCCAAAGATGCTCTTCACTGGCCCACGGCATCCGGGTACAATTCTCCCTCCCTCCCCCCGGCCTGCGTGGCACGCCGCCGGCAGCCCAGCACGTGAACAGCCCCGAGACAGGATCTCAGCAGAGCTGCGCCAGCTGCTGCACTGTCAGGGTCAGAGGTCAGAACGTTGTTTCGGGCGGCTCTCGTCTCCGCCCTGGCTTAGATTTCACAGCAGCAGGAAACCGAGGGGAGGGCCAGCCCAAGAGCTCAGCTCTCAAGCACGCTGCCCTGTGGGAAGGAGGGTTAAGTTAGGGAGCAGCTCGGTGCTGCCTCTCCCGAACAGCCGGAGCCTGGCGTGGCTGTACTGTGGAGATGGGCTCACACAGGAGGTCCCCAGCCGGGATCATCTCTCCCATGCAAATAGCAGTGTCCCAAATTCCCCACGAGCAGTTAGGAAGTTCCCACGCATATCCGAAAACCCCGGGAAGTTCCAGCCCAAGCCAGACAGCAGGGCCCTGCTCTCCTGTGTGTGTGGCTATTGTGCTAAGGGTCTGCCCGGCCAGGGTTGTACAAACAGGAGGGCTGACAGTAACCTTCCCGCTCATTTTTTTCCATTCGCACACGGATTAAATTTTGTTCTGTGCACCAAGACACAATGTGGGTGTGCACCACCCATCCACATGGGAATCTCTCCTGGGTGGCCGCCCAAGCACTCGGTTTCCAGGGACAGTTGGCTTACAGTGTAGCCGATGAGGGGCTGGAGCTGCAAACGGCTGTGGGAACGACGGGCACAGTGCAGCAGGAGAGTGTGTTTAATCCGTTCAGCAGCGTGCGGCTAGATCACGACACAGACACGCTGCCCGAGGCGCAGGCGCTCCCCACCGCA